CCATCCATCCATCCATCCATCCATCCATCCATCCATCCATCCATCCATCTGTCCATCTGTCCGTCCATCTGTCTGTCTGTGGGGGGAGGGGCAAGGGAGACAACAGTGCACATGTGTAAGTCAGAGGACAACTTGAGGCAGTTGGTTCCCCCCTTCTCCCATGTGGGCTCCAGAGATCACACTCGGATTGTCAAGTTTGGTAGGTGAGCCTTTTAAAAAAGATATATAGACCCTCACTATGTAGCCCAGACTGGCCTGAAGTGTGGGGTTCTTTGGTGTCAGCCTCTCAAATGCTGAGTTACAGATGTCGCCACAGGTACACATTTCCGCATGGGGTTAAGGGTGAGTCCTGCCTAGAGAAGCACATTCGATGTTGTCAGTACTGAGCAGACATTTGAGTTCGATAAAACCCTGCAGTCACATGTCCACGCTGACTGTAGTCTCTCATGGTGTGATGCTACACCAGGTTGAGCTCGTGGGTCTAACCAGAGCGCCACCCCTCAGATAGCTCTGTTAGCGGGAGAGTGCAAGCGTGTCCCAGGAAAGTGGCGAGAATTTTAAGAGGACCTGAGTGGTGCTTTCCACAAGTGCGACTCAATGAGCTGTTCCGTCTTTCCTCCTCTAACACCCGGTGGCCCTTCGGGTGTACAGGTGTTTGTGCAGGAGTGCTGGGTGCCTGGGGAAGGGGTGTGGCTCCCCTCGGTCTCTCTCTCACTCCTGTTGATTCTCTTTGATGACCTGGCCCTTGTTATGCAGGTGTCTGGTTGAGAAGGGGGACGTGGCCTTCGTGAAGCACCCCACAGTTCTACAGAACACTGATGGTAGGTGCCCGCCCTGTGATTTCCTTTCTTGGAAGAGTCTGACTCTCCCTGGCAACTGAGGCAACGGTGGAAGTTTAATAGCTAAACCTAGTGCACTCCAGTGCCTGGGATCCTAGAAGTTTAAATTAATTTAGCGTTTCGATGTAGCTTATGGGGCTAATTATCACCCTGGCTGTGACCCCAGCTGACAAAACACAAAGAAACCATGGGCTACCTGAGTGCATCTGCCTCCCTGATTGACAAGAATTCTTTTTTACAAAAATTTAATTTATTCATTTTACATCCTAGTTGTAGTCCCCTCCCTCTTCTCCCAACCCTACTCTCCTCCCTATTTCCCCTACCCCTCCTCCCCTACTCCTCAGAGAAGATGAGACTTTACCGCCTCCCCCCCCCCCCTTTTCTTTTGGTTTATCAAGACAAAGCTTTTCTGTATAGCCCTGGCTATCCTGGAACTCACTCTGTAGACCAGGCTGTCCTCAAACTCAGAGGTCCATCTGCCTCTGCCTCCTAAGTGCCTGACAACTGTCTTAATTTTAACATACTGTAATTTATTGAATTTTCTTTTTTTGGTTAATACGCTCAGGACTGTTACTATAATTTTTTTATTCAGTTCTGGAGAATTTCACCTAGGGCCTTGAGCATGCTAGGAAAGTGCTGTACCCCCGAGCTACAACCCCAGCATTTTGTTTGTTTATTGATGGATTGACTTAAAATTTTATATGTATGTTTTACCAGCATAGGTATGTCATGGGCATATGTATGTCTGTATACCACGTGCATACCTGTTGCCTGTAGAGGCCAAAAGAGAGCATTAGACCCCCTGGAGTTGGAGTTACAAAGAGCTGTGAGCCACCATTTGGGTGCTGTGACTCAAATCCAGGTCCTCTGGTCCTTAACCCCTGAGCCATCTCTCTAGCCAGCCATTATTTTTTCAAAGTTTACAGTTATTTTATTTTTTTTTATGTGTTTGTTCTGAGGTCAGAGGACAATTTTCTGCCTCTACTTTGTGGGCCTCAAAGCTTGAATGCGGGTCCTCACACATGGCAGCAAATACATGTTTTTTGTTTTTGTTTTGTTTTTTTTTTTTTTTAATCTACTGAGCTATATCACTGGCCCCAAGCATTTTTTTTTTCTAAGTTTTAAAAAATGTCTTGCTACATGTTCCAGGCTAGTCTTGAACCTGCAGTCCTCCTGCCTAAGCCTCCTAACTTACTAGCGTAGTGGTCTGTACCGCCCTCCCTGCCAAGCCTTGTGGCTTGCCCCCATGACGACTAAGAAGAGCACACAGGGTAAGTCATATGAAGCATGGCTTTACCTCCTATCCCCCAACTCCAGATGTGATTGTGAATTCCTCTTTGTTTCTGAGACTCTGGTCAGCCCTACCTAAGCCATCCTTGTCAGACACACAGACACACAGACGTGCACTCACGCTCACACAGATGTGCACACATACACACGCTCACACGGTATGCCTTCATGTGCCATCTAACTGAATAACACTGCTCATTTGGGGTGATGATCAGCATTCCACACCAGCAAAGCCAGGGGCTCGTGCTGATGTTTTCCTCTTCCGGAGTTGTCAATACCTTGGGACTACTTTAACTATTAATTACTTTTATTTAACGGGTATTGGTGTGTTGCCTGCCTCTATAGCTGTGTGAAGGTGTCGGAACTCCTGGAGCTGGAGTTACAGACAAGTGGTGAGATGCCGTGTAGGTGCTGGGAATTGAACCCTGGCCCTCTGGAAGAGCAGCCAGTGTTCTAAACCACTACGCCGTTTCTCCAGCAGCCCCATGGGACTATTTTAAGAAACTTTTGCTTTAATGGGACTAATGGAGAACCAAACAAGGAGGTTATGAGTTTGTGAGTCCCTCTCTCCTCTCTTTGTTTTATCTCCCTGGGTAGCATGGCTCTCTCGGAAGGGTACCTGGACCAATCCTCTAAGCTGTGGCTGAGTGAGCATCATTCTTTCCCTAGGAAAGAACCACGAGGCTTGGGCTAAGGGGCTGAGACACAAAGACTTTGAGCTGTTGTGCCTCGATGGCACCAGGAAGCCTGTGACTGAGGCTCAGAGCTGCCACCTGGCCAGAGTGCCAAACCACGCTGTGTTCTCCAGGAAAGATAAGGCTGACTTTGTTCGCAGAATCCTCTTCAACCAGCAGGTATGGGCACCAGCGCCTACTCCTTGTGACTCAGTGCCCGGTTCCCAGAGCTGCACTGTTGCCCAAGTACCCATACACCCTGCCTAGCTCAGGCTCTTTCTCCCTAAGCAGAGAGTTCTGATCCTCCCAGTCCTGCCTCTGGTTTTATCTTGTTCCGCAGCTCTCTAGAAATCCAAGAGAACAGTCTGAGATTTAGAGCGTTGAATAAACACACAGGATCTCTTGGGCCTGCTCACTTCTCCAAGAGAATTAATCCCTTCTCTCTTCTGCTGGTGCAATAAGTAAGGAGTTGCCGGCTCCGTGGCTGAGCCTAGATAGGCTGGGTACCATCTGGGCTTCCTGAGAGTGGAGGAGCCAAACATCTAGGCAGTTTATGGCCTTTCTGGAAGCCAACAGGAGCTGATTTCATAAAGTAACAGATGCCTAACCTGAATGATTTGAAGGAAAACCTATCTTCTCCTCTGCCTGTTGCAACAGATACCCTGTTCTTGGAAGTTCCCCAAAGAAGAAATCCATGTTTTCTCATATAACACTTTCACATCCTTGTTAAAAAAAAAAAAAAAAAAAATGGTGGCCCGGTGTTCCAGTTTTCTTCTCTTTGCTGTGCTAAAACACTAACCAAAAGAAACTTGGGCATGAGAGGGTTTATTTGGCTTATAGCTTATAGTCCATCATTGGGAAATCTGTGCAGGAGCTCAGGACAGGAACTAAAGCAGAGACCATGGAGGAACACCACTTACTTTCTCGCTCCAGGCTCACATCTAGCTGCCTTTGTTGTATAGTCCCAGCCTATCTGCTGAGAGATGGTACCACCCACAATGGGCTGGGCCCTCCTAGATCAACTAGTAAGAAAATGTCCTGTAGACATGCCCATGGGTCAGTCTAACAGAGGCTTTAATTGACGGAGAAGCCCTCGAAGCCCTCGTTTCCCGTGCATAACACTGACAATCGAAATTAACACTCATACCTAGGAAAACCATTATGGTGATGACTATGGACATCCTAAAGAGAAAGTCCCCCATAAGACAGGAAGCCATGTTGGCTCCTATGGAAATAAGCTGAGGAAGAGAAGTAGGATGAACACATGGAGCTGGTTGGAGTTCAGAGGCTAGAAGAGGCAAAGCAGCAAGAGCTTCAGGCAGCGGAAAGGCAGGGGAGGATGATCCAGACAGCTGGGAAAACACCTGGTGCGGGCTGGCTAAATAGTGACATATGACCAGCTTTCTATTTACATTTCTTTACGTACATCATTGCACAATGTGATGCTACCGTCTCTGTTCACGAATGAGCAAACAGAGGTTGACTGAGATCGGTGAAGAATTTCAGGAAAAGATGACGCCCTTATTCAAATCCACAGACCATGTTTTCTGGCACTACAGCATTTCCTAAACTGTTGTGGTGCCCTAGGGTTTCCCAAAGGTTGGAGCTGAGTAGTCCAGAAGAGGCCTTTGGTCTTCTAGAAAAAGTAGACACCTCTATGCTTCCTGGCGTCTTCAGTGACTGACTGTCTGTCCCAATCCAGGAGCTGTTTGGAAGAAATGGATTTGAGTATATGATGTTCCAGATGTTTGAATCCTCACATAAGGACTTGCTTTTCAGCGACGATACAGAATGCTTGTCTAACCTTCAGAACAAAACAACGTACGAAACCTACCTAGGGCCTCAGTATCTAACCTGGATGGACAACTTTAGACAGTGCTTGTCCTCTGGTAAGTAGAACCAAGGAGAAGTGACAGGAGGTCCAAAGTCAGTGTGTTTAGATTAAGAACTCAGGTGTGTCAAGTTCTCAGTAGATACAGACAAGACCATGAAGTAGCGACTTCCTCCCTGCTTTGAAGAGAAAGTCAGAATCAACCACTAAGTCAATTCAATTACACAACAGTGAAAGACAGAATTGGGGTGATGCTAAATTATCTGAGGGAGACAAGAAGGGTAGCAGAACTTGAAGGCACTTGGGAAATGAAGCTCTCCTCATGTGTATTCCCATTTTAATCAAGTTGGGGCTTGGGAAATAACACAAGCTGAATATTCTGCCTATGAAGAACCAATTTCTGGTGGTTTTATGGAAAATGCACAAATATTAATAATAAAAAACAAACACAGCATGGTTAGCCCTATAGGAGTCTTGGTATGCGTATTTCAGATGGCATAACTGTCTCAAAAAGAAAGATATTGGGGAAGTAAAGTTAAAACTGAATTAATAGAACTAGATGTTGGGCATATGTATGTATGATATTGAATACTAGAGATAATGAAATCAGGAAGGAAGGGCAGTATAGGCATCTAAGGACAGACATGTTAGAACAGAAAGTGTCTGTAAGGAGCTTAGATCATCGCAATTAACCACAAATTACTTTTAAAAGACCAAGGTGTTCCCAAGACACTCTCAAGAACTTTGCTTTTCAGAACCTAGGAAACTGGAGCAGTGAGGAGTGTGGCAAGGTGTGGCGGGGCCTGATGTTTTTCTCCTGTGTTTCGCTTTACAGAACTGCTGGATGCCTGCACATTTCACAGACATTAAACACCATTCAGCTGGGGGAACACAGGAAAGGGGGACCCACCTGTTTGTCTCCACATGGAGTTGTGCTGGCATCTTTATAACTCAGTATCATAATTGAAGCAATAAAATAAAATAAAATAAATCTAAACAGCTTCCCAGAAAGCTTCACTGAATGTTCTCAGATTGTGCCTCTGAGTTCAATATCTACTAAAAATTGTATCATACAAGCTGGTGAGTAAAGGTAACAGTCTAGGTTTGAGCCCTGAGACCTACTCAGTGGAAGGAAAGAACAAATTGTTCTCTGACCTTCTCATGGACATAGTGGCTTGTGTGTGCCACCATGCACATATACACACAAATAAGTGTGAAAAGATATACCTTTGGGGAAATGGCCCAGTGGGTTTAGTGCTTACTCTGAAAGTATGAGAACCTGAGAGAGGTATCCCAGAAGCAGAAAGACACACATGGTATATACTCACTTATAAATGGATATTAGACATATAATGTAGGATAAACATACTAAAATCTGTACACCTAAGGAAGCTAATCAAGGAGGGCGGCCCTGGATAAGATGCTCAATCTTCATTCAGAAAGGCGAATGAGATGGACATCAGAAGAGGGAGAAAACAGGCAACAGGACAGGAGCCAATCACAGAGGGCCTATGAAAGACTCTACCCAGCAGGGTATCAAAATCATGTGCTGAGACTCATAGCCAAACTTTGGGCAGAGTGCAGGGAATCTTATTAAAGAAGGGGGAGATAGAAAGACCTGGAAGGGTCTGGAGCTCCACAAGTTGAGCAACAGAACCAAAATATCTGGGCCCAGAGGTCTTTTCTAAGACTGATACTCCAAACAAGGACCATTCATGGAGATAACCTAGAATCCCTGCACAGAAGTAGCCCATGGCAGCTCAGTGATTAAGAAGGTTCCCCAATAATAGGAACAGGGACCATTTCTGACATGAACTCATGGGCTGGCTCTTTGATCACCTTCACCTGAGGGGGGAGCAGCCTTACCAGGCCACAGAGGAAGACAATGCAGCCAGTCCTGATGAGACCTGAGAGACTAGGGTCAAATGGAAGGGGAAGAGGACCTCACCTATCATTGGACTGGGGGAGGAGCATAGGAGAAGTAGAGGGAGGGAGGGTGACATTGGGAGGGGGAAGGGAGGGGGCTACAGCTGGGATACAAAGTGAATAAACTAACTAATAAAAAATAAAACAAAAATTTAAAAAAAGGCAGATTTTCACACAGGTGGATCTCTGGGAGCCACCGGGTGGCCAGGCTGGCTGAATCAGTGGGCTTCAGGTTCAGTGAGAGACACTGTCTCAAAGACTAAAGTGGAGAGCAAAAGAGGACGGCCCTGGACATTCACCTCCAGCCTCCACACACGTGTGCAGATGTGTACATGCACCTCCCCACACACGCATCCATGAAAACAAATTATGTTTTGACATTTAAAATGCGATCAAAATCTTAGTTAACGGTTTCTGAAAAAAAAAAATTCTAAAATTACCGCAAACATTGTATCTTACTGCTTGTGCATTCCGCTCTCTGGACCTGTGATGAGTTCCTTATCATGGATTTCACCATCTCGAGTTATTACCAGGATGCCAGCTTCTGATAAACCTCTTAGCAAGTGTGGAATTGGAGCCAAGATAATATGTTGTTAAAAGTCAGATTTATGTGAGTGAGTGAAGGAACGCCGGAGCAGGGTGAACCCTCTTTCCACAAACAACTAAAAATCAGGGGAAAAAAAACCATTTGAAACAGCTCTTTGTGGTCATTGAACAATAACTGTGAGGAACCGGCACCGATGGAAGAAAAAGCAGAGGTGAGAGGATCTGAGGTCAAGGTGACTGAAACGGAGTGCCAGAAAGGTTGGGACTTTGCGGGAACCTCTCCAGATTCCTCATTCCGGCGTCCTTGATGTACCCGTACCAGTGCAGACTGAAATCAAAACCCACGAGGCTGCGAAGAGAGTCACTGAGAGAGACCTAACCCCAGACAGTTTCCAGCGCTCATGAGGCCACGAATCACTCAAGTTTCTAGCCAGCAGAGCGAAGAAGAGCCCTCGCTCAACACAGAGGCCTTCGCTATGGCATGTGCCTTAGCTGTGGGAGTAAAACGGCCATGGTTGGGGCTAGACAGACGGCTCAGCACTTAAGAGTACGTGCTGCTCTTTTGCAGAGGACTTGGGTTCAGTTCCCAGAACCAACTTCATGCAGCTTATGACCACCTGTAATTCCAGTTCCAGGGGATCCAACACCCTTTAGGCTCTGCAGGTCCCTGCACACATGTGAAATAAACTCACACACACGTGCGCGCAAACACACATAAACTAAAAAATAAACACTTAGAATGGCAACTGGTTAAAGGTTGCTCCTCAGTAGCCTTTACTGGAGCTGGTGCTAGCCTCAAAGCATCCCACTGGTGTGTGGGCACCTTAACTCCCCTCCAACACAAACTCCCATACTGTGAGAGGACCACAATGAGACCTAAACACTCACCACTGCAACTCACGGAGTTGCATCTTAAATAATGACATCTTCAGATATGCAAAGAAGCATCAAACTGTTACAAAGTCAAGAGCAAAGGCAACTGATAAAAACACATTTAAAAACCGCAGAGGTGAGGGAATCAAACGATAAACATTTTTTAAAAGATTTAACTTAAACAATTTTTTTTTAAGTCTGTGTCGTTTGTGTGACTGGGTGTGGGTTTGCACATGGGAGTGCAGTGCCCACAGAGGCTAGAAGAGGAGAACAGCAGACATCCTGGCCCCGGAGTGGCAGGCAGTTGTGAGCTGGGAACCAAAGTTGGGTTCTTTGCAAGATCGGCTCCTCATAAGCCGTGGCTCCAGCTCCACTTTTTTTCTTTTTCTTTTTCTTTTTTTTTTTTTTTTCAGATAAAGAAAGGAGGGAATTCATGCCTGGTTCTGGAAATCTAGCCAATTACAAAAGGCTAGCGAGGTGGTGAATCTTAGAGATGAGCCTACTGCAGCCGCTTCACTAGACCGTCACAATTCCTAACTACAGTCCAAATAACTCTCCTGATACCCACACGTAGCTCCTACTCCATATCAAGGAAGCTTCCTTTTGCAGCAGATAGAGTCCGTTACAGAAAGCCACGACTGGCCAACACGAGAAGAACTGAGTGTGGGGAGCCATGCCCAAGCGATGCATTTATAGCACAAACAACCCCTACACCGTAGGGGTTCGGGGGACATGGAAGGAGGGAGGGCAAACGACTGGAAGAGCCAGAGGACCAGCAAGCATTTTTGTATCTTCAGGACTGTATCCTCCATATGCATCTCCTCTATCTGACAGGAAAGCTGTACTCAGGAAATGTCTGCCTTTGTGGCTGCCCAAGCAGGACCTGAGCAAAGACAGCAGCAGATGACACCTTAACATTGAGAGTGGAAATCTCCCGGGACTCTGCTCCTAAAGGAAGGGCTGTAGGTAATTAATGGCTGCCGAGAGAAGCAGAGTTGTTATTAAAATACGTAAATAAATAAATAATCTGAGGAGTTAAAGGAAAAGGTGACTGTAACAAAGAAAAAAAAAGTGTAAGGTAAAAAGGAACCAGCAGGGTTGGAGAGACAGAGCAGCAGTCAAGGGTGCGCTCTTAAGTCCTGAGACTGAGCCGTCAATCCTGGCATCCACATAGACTGACTCATAACGCATGTCACTCCAGCTCCGGGAGGATCCAGCACCCTCTTCTGGCCTTGAGAGGTACCTGCACGTACATGAGCTCACGTACTCACACAGGCACAGACACAAAGACACAAATACACACACACACACACACACACACACACACACACACACACTTGTCCAAATACACAGACACATTAAAAATCTATGTTCTTTATATAAGAGAACACATGGTGTTTGTGTGAGTTTAGTGTATTTCCCTTAACATAATTTTTCCACTTTCATTTTTCTATAAATGTTTCTAGCAGCTTTAAAAAAAAAATGTAGATGTGTGTTTTTCTGGCATTCAGCACTTGCGTGCCTGGGACCTGCAGAAACCAAAAGAGGGTAATGGATACCCTCTTACAGATGGTTGTGAGCCACTGTGCGGGTGCTGGGGATTGAACTTGGGTCCCCTGGAAGAGAGCAGCCAGCGCTCTTAACTGCTACTGAGATATCTTTCCAGTCCCCCTCTAGATGTGTTTTATATTCAAATTCATTCCGATCTTCTTGCTTCAGAGCTGGGAGTTTTAATTTCATACATTTGGTGAAGATTCCCGGGCCAGAAGTCCACAAAACAGAGCATCTTCAGCTTTGAGAATCTGTAGTCAAAGTCCTGATGGTTTAGTTTAGGGCACTGGAAGGAAATGATGGCTCCAAAATAAGGTCCTTTGGAAGTTTTCCCAAATCCTTAGCTCCAGTCTCAAGGTCCTTATCTAGCTGCCTAGCCATGAGGTTTTTCTCCTCCACCTGCCCCCATTCAACTGTCAGAGCTGACATATCCATGGGAGACTATGGGGAAGACCCTTCCCCAGGCAAGAAATCAGTGCCCAGAAAGGTAGCAGGAAGGTCTCAGGCTATGCTGGCTAGTTCTATGTTAATACAAGCTAGAGTCAATGGGAAGAGGGAATCTCAAATTGAGAAAATGCTCCCACTAGATTGGCCTGTGGGGAAGCCTGTGGTACATTTTCTTATGTTTCATGTTGGAGGGCCCAGCTCACTGTGGGTGGCGCCACCTCTGGGCTGGTGGTACTGGATGCTGTAAGAAAGGAGACTGAGCAAGCCACAAGGAGCAAGCCAGTAAGCAGCATCCTCCATGGGCTTTGCTTCAGCTCCTGCCTCCAGGTTCCTGCCTTGAGCTCCTTTGATGATGGACTGTCATGTAGAAATGTCAGTGACGTAAACCACTTCCTCCCCAAGTTGCTTTTAGTCCTATAGTCTTATCACAGCAATAGAAACTCTAATTAAAACAGGCTCATGTAGTTTTGGAGGCAGAGGACTTATTCCTTAAGGATCCTATGCCATCTCCCTGAAGACTGCCCCAAAGAAGGCACCGACACAGCAATCCTTTATGAGAGTTTTGCTTGCTACAAAATCTCCAGGCTGTTAACCAACGCCTTAGACAACATTGGCTATAGCGAGCTTCAGTTTCTGTTGCCATTTGCTCCACCAGGAAAGCCAACCTTGAGTCCTAAGT